AGACAGTCCGATTTTTTTTTGTTTTTTTCCGATCGTTTTTTCCATTCCGTTCTGGCGTTAGGCTGTCCCTTTTTTCCCGATTGTTTTTTCCGTTTCTTTAACCCGGTCGGATCAGTTTTTTTTTCCCGGAAACTTTTGGTTCTGCGGTTGGATGATTCCTGTGGGAGAGGCGATCAGGGCGGGGGCGTTTTTTTTTCCCGGAAACTTTTGGTTCTGCGGTTGGATGATTCCTGTGGGAGAGGCGATCAGGGCGGGGGCGTTTTTTTTTCCCGGAAACTTTTGGTTCTGCGGTTGGACGATTCCTTTGGGAGAGGCGATGAGGGCAGGGGCGCAGACGATACTGTAGTTATTTTTTAGGTAAAAACAAAAATAAATTAGATTAATGCTCGTACAGTTGCACGGAAAAATAATAATGGTTGGATAATTTAGTTGAACGAAAGGGTGCAACTTAATTAATTACATATTGTTCCTTATACTAACAGGCTCGTAAATGTTTTTTTTAAGCACTCAGCGGCTATTCAGAGAAACAAACATAACATTTCTAATCCATTTGAATTTAAAAAGGTGAGGACACACACTAACGTGCGAGTGCTTCTTGAATTAGATTTTGAAGGGAGCGATAGTCTCTACACCTAATATATGGGATAGTATGTAAGTTAGTAGAGCTAGCTATCATTTGAGTTTGATTAATTAATCAACAATGCATCTATGCAGTTCGTATTCTGAACACTGCCGTGGAGGAATTTATGGATGTACAAGTAACTACAAATTAGTTAACCAAGGTATTGGAAAAAAAAAGAAAAGGAAAGGGAACCTGATCGAGTTCCTCCTCAAGTTGTTATGCGTTCCTCCTCAAGTTGTTATGCGATGATGCTCGATCTGCTCCTCGACGTCTCGGCGTGCTCCGGCGGCGCTCGGCGTGCCAAGGCCGAGTTCCTGTCCAGATGATGCTCGTCGTGCTCCTCAACATCATGGCACGCTCCAGCGGCGCTTAGCGTGCCAAGGCCGTGGAAGTGGGTGCTGTCTGCGTGCTCGTGGAGCTCCTTCGCGATGCTGTTAGCCGCGTCACCAAGCGCTGGCTCCTCCTGCTCAAGCGCCAGTGCAAGTACCCGGAGGGCTAGTTCGTCTTTACGGAGCACACGCTGGCGGTGTCGGCCGTGTCGTGGTCCCGGTTTTTATATGTAGAGAGCCGAGTTGGAGACGTGGGCGGTGGCAGAAGGATTTCGTCCCGACACGGACTCCGCTTCTGTTTCGATGTCGCCATGGCCTCTTCCATCTTGCAGCATTTCCATGAGCCTTCGGATCCGCGTGGAAGGAGGCACGCCCGCAACGCATAGCGCCACCACGCTCGGACCCTCGCTGTCCCCCGTGCCGGATCTCGTCCCGACGTGGACTCTGCTTCCGTTTCTCTGTCGCCATGGCCTCTTCCATCTTGCAGCATTCCCCATAGGCCTTCGGATCCGCGTGGAAGGACGCCCGCAACGCACAGCGCCACCACGCTCGGACCCTCGCTGTCCCTCGTGCCTGGCCTGCATGATGTGGACTCCGAACGACGCAAACTCCGCGGGAGCGTGGCCACGCGCTGAAGCGGGGCGACGGATACAGAATTGCCTTTCCTTTATCCATATGCAAGTGCTCGTACGTATACGTGTTACAACCGGCCAGAAGACGTAGAGAAGTACCTTTCCAATATGCTAGTGCGTACGTATTAATGTATTATTCCTTTCAATCATGCAAGTGCATACGTATTCTCACCGGCTCGTGTTAGAGCTATCTCCAAAAGTACCTAATATTTTTATTCTAAAAACATGAAGTTTTGCAACTCTAAAAAAGTATAGGGACGGATAAAGAATGTCATCTCCAAGAGTTTTCAATATTTTAATCTAAAAAAAATTTGTACGGCACTTTTTTTCCGCGAACCGATCATAGATTTATGATGTTTTGTATAAGGAACCCTGAATTTATTTCTATACATATTTAAACCCTCCCACAAGATCTTTTTTCTCTTGCGCTTTTCTCACCTGCTACCTTGTTTTTTTTCCTTTTCCTTTCACACCCCTTCTACTTCTCATACTCGGAGTGGGACGACAATGCGCAGGAGGGGGCGATGGGCGGGGCAAGGCAGACGATACCCCTACGTATTTTTTAGGTGTAGTAGATATAAAAAAAATAAAAAAATATATAAGTTGTAGATCTATACCTTTATACTAAAGAGGCAAAATTTCTTGCCATAATTTTTTCGTCCATCACCTAATCTCTTCCGGATTCACGCTTAGATCGTCCGATTGTGATTTCGGTGTCCAGGTGGTTTATGTCTAATTTATGCCCACTCCAGTTTCCATCCAGGTCTTGGTTTCTTTGTACATTTCGTTTCTACCCTATTCTTTTAATGCTTGCTTCAGTTTTCATATCCATTCCGATTTTATTTTAGTTGCCTGGTTCAGATCAGTTTCTCTTAGGCTTTTTTATTGTGCACGTTCTTTGCTCCTGTGACTTTTTTTTTGCTCCCGTGATTTTCTCATATAAACAAAATAAATAGTAAATATAATATTTTTGAACTATTTTTTTGTGATTACACAGTACAGCGCAGACACTCACAACGCACTTGCATTCACCCCTATGAACACATGCACGAAAACCCTACCCTTATAAGCATCTTCGAAGACTGAAGAGGCAAACGCTCGAGATCGACAAAGTCAGTTGAACCGTTGACTTTCTAATGAAATAAAATATTTATGTAGTTTTGATTAAAAATATTTTTATTAAAACTTAGATCAGCCTATAGTCCAACTAACTAAAATCGTATATTAAAATTAAATTTTGACCAGTTTGTTGTCTATTCCAATATAAATAAATATATATCTGCAATCCCCAATAAGGGCTGACACATGAAACAATGAGAGAGATCTTCTGTCGTAATCATCAACGGATAGATAAATTCTTGATATGTCAGCAACTAACTCATCGTCAACATTAATTAGATACTAGAACCACATATATTTTTGGATCCTCAAAGAAAGTCATTAAACTTGATATTAACTGTAGCAATACATGAACAGAATAAAAAGTAAATTTGTGATATATTTACATCTAAATATTTATGTGCTTTTCAGTGGGAGAAAAAAATTCACTAATGTTGTATTTTAATTCGCTAGAAATTTAATACTCCCTCCGTTCCAAATTATAATTCGTTTGACTTTTTTGACCGTAAGTTTGACCACTCGTCTTATTAAAAAATGTGCAAACATAATTAAATTTAAGTCATTCTTGAAGAACTTTTGTTAATAAAGCAAGCCACAGCAAAAGAAGTGATATTTTGCACAAATTTTTGAATAAGACGAGCGGTCAAGCTTGAGGTAAAAAAAGTCAAACGAATTATAATTTGGAACGGATTTAGTAGGATATTGTCATATTATTGACAACATTAATTTATGCTATGGATGTCATGATTATTATAAAATAAACTATAGATTTTAAATTTTACATATATGGTAAAACATAAATATATATGTATTATTATATTCTCGTTGTCGTTTCTAAAAAAACATTAGATAATTTTCCCTGTGTTGCAATGCACGGGCATGTTTGCCAGTTAAAAGTAAAATCAGAAAAAGAAACTCCTTTAGGGACCAAACTGGAGACTAATCAATCAAGTAGCCACGCAAGACCTCAACGCTAGGCTTTGCACATGTTACTGTCTAAAACAGCAATATTGTTTTTACTATATACGTAGACATAGTGTATATTTGAATATATAGGAAAGCTATGTAAAAAAAAATCAAAACGTCTTCTAATTTGAAATTCAGAGAGTACGTGGCAACCGGCAACTGACGACCCGTGTCGACACTCCTGAAAATCTAATCGAAAGCCAGATAGATATTGGTAGGTTGGACGTATATGATGCATGATATGCATTTATTAAGTGTATCATTTGCAGGGGAAGCACATACACAACCTAACCAACTCTGTTCCATACCTCTCTGTTCTCCTTTGGCACCAGGGCAACACACGATACGATATCTCCTTGTCATGCGCGCTTTCACCTTAATGTTTAGACAAAACAACGTGTACCAGCTAACATGAGAGAGTGGTGCGTGCTACTGCTATCTGCTTTAGGCTTTAGCACTCGCATGCAGCATGATGCATTATTTGTCACGACATGTCACATCCAAACCCTCACTAACGCAAAAGGTGTCCAGTAACAAACGCTCCAAAGGGCATAAAAAGCGAGCTCGGTGACACACTCGATCGGAGGAATCCCTGAAAGAGCATTTCGTGTCGTGCCGGCGTTCGCGTGCCACGCTCGAGAGCGTGGCAAAAATCCCCGCGCGTACCCAGCCAACGCGGCGCGGGCAACTCGTGTCGACGTGTCGTGAAAGACGGCAGGCCAGACGTGCGCTTTTGCGTTCCGCGGTGCAGCGCTCCGAGCCTCCGACCAAGGAAGTGACCAACTGCCCACGGACACGACGTCGCTGGTTCAGACACGAGACACCAGACACCAGACACTAGGCCATGGCCACCAAGGAGATGTAACGGTCCGGCGGACGGACGGACGGTCGCGAGATGCCATGCTTATGCTGAAATTTGACTTACGCTAATGTTTAGGTTAAAATGTTATGAGAGAAAAACATCGTTTTAAGTAGTGCTAAATTAGGTTAAGCGAACACGGCTAAAATCCGGGGCTTGTCCTGCCCAAGCACGCAAGGAAGCTATTCTCTAGTTCAGCTCCCAGTCCTAGCTAGCTAGCTTTGCCTACAAAGCAATCAAAAAGCGACGGCGGCACCACCCGTCGTCGGTCGTGTGCCTATCCCTTCAAGCCAGGCTTCGCGCCGGGGATTGGAGCGGAGCCACCAGGGATCGCCCCTTTACAAGCACCCACACTCGCGCAACAGCCCCGAACCGTGCATCGCGATCGCGCCTCTTATATGCATCGCTGCTGCCGCGGACAGAAGCACATCAGGCAAGGTAGCTAGGAGCAGTCGCGCGCGAGAGCTGGTGGCATGGACAGTCGGGACTCCAAGGCGCCGGCGCCAGCGCTGCCGAAGGCGGCGGGCCCGCCGGCGGCCGTGAACGGTACTGCCGGCGGCGTCGGAGGCGCGGCGGCGGCGGCGCCGGGGGCCGACGCGACGTTCGACACCAACACGGTGATCCTCCTGGCGGCGCTGTTCCTGGCGCTGCTGTTCGCCATCGCGCTCAACTCGTTGGCCAGGTGCGCGCTCTGGTGCGGGGGCCGGGCCGCGGACGGCGGTGGCGGCGGCCGCGAGGGGGCGGCGTCGTCGAGCGTCGGCGCGTCCTGCGCGGGCGTCCGAGGTGGGATCAAGAAGCGCGCGCTGAGGAGCATCCCCGTGGAGGTTTACGTCGCCGCGGGGGAGGGGGAGGAGACCGGGGCCGGGGACCAGGACGAGGACGTGTGCGCCATCTGCCTCGGCGAGTTCGCGGACGGCGACAAGGTGCGCGTGCTGCCGCGGTGCGGGCACGGCTTCCACGTCCCGTGCGTCGACGCCTGGCTGCTGTCCCGCGGCTCGTGCCCGACGTGCCGCCGCCCCGTGATGGACGGCATTCCCGCCAAAGGTGGCGGCTGCAGGGGGGCGTCGGCCAGAGCCGGCGGCGGCCGGATAGCGACACCATCGCCGTGGTCATCGCGTGAGGGACGGAGGGGAGCATGTGGCCATCACCCATCGGAAGCAGACCTAGTGGTAGGCGCACACGCAACAACGGAGCAAGGTATAGCTCTGTACTGTTCTGTCGCCGTGGATAAGCTCATGTAAAAATATCTCCGTAGCCTCGTTATTTTTGGTTCACATTACAACCAAGGCATGGTTGGGGACCAATGCGAGCCGCATCGTCCGATATTATCCGGCGACGGCTGGCCCACTTGCACTAGATGACGCTACTTGGAGTGTACTGCTAGCTAGTGTAGCATCTTGCCGGCCGTCAAATGTATGAGAGTTGTTCGATCACTGTGCGTGTTCGGCAGCGCCGTACGAGAACTTGTTACAAATAAGCAACCACCATGCGGTAAGACATGCTCATGCGCATTGGCGCGTGCACCCGTGCGTTCGTCGCCGGCGGCGGTAGTGCCAGGTGGTGCGCGTTCCGGCTGCCGCACGCCTGGAAGCGGTACAGTGGCCGTGCGCTGATCGGCATTCGGCCGGCATGCCGAACAAACAACCACCGAGTGCAAATTAATCTGCTGCGGGTTGCTGCGTGACAACCGCGTGCCTTAGGGGGTACTCTTTTTCACGGGGAAAGGACTAAAAAGTAAATTTCAGTTCCAATTAGTCTAAACAACCGGAATTAAAATAGGGTCCAGGAACTAAAATACAGTAGTCACTTGAAGGCTGCTAATTGAGACTAAGGCCCCGTTTGGCAGGGCTTCTCCAGCGGCTTCAGGAGCCGTTTGGAGCCGTTTTCTGCCAAACGGGGTAAAATGAAACGGCTCCACCGATGAAGCCCCTAAAAACGTGCTCTCACAGAGCTTTGGGGTGGGAAGGAGCCAAAAATAGTGGCTTCTCCCGGCTCCTCCTCCAGGCCCCTAAAAACATGCTCTCACAGGGAAGCCATTTTGCCAAACGGTTTACCAAAACCGCTTCAGCTCCACCGGTGGAGCTGTTCGTGGAGCTGAAGCCAAAAAAAATGGCTTCACTAGTGAAGTGAAGCCCTGCCAAACGGGGCCTAAACAGCCCATACCTCTCCCTGGTAGGCTTTCTCCTCTCCTTTAGCCTCTTTTAGTCCCTAGAAACCAACACTATTTTAATTTTTATTTTAATTCCTGTTTTAGTCTCTCGTCAACACGCCCTTGATCTGAAGCGAAAGCCGATCGCGCGTCGTCGCTGCAACCACCGAGATGACTCCGTGGCGCCAAACCCGATGGCCACGGCTAGCTGCAGGGTGCGTGGTCCGTCGTCGTCGCCCGGTGTTCACGCGAAATGCGTGGACAAACGTACGCGTCCTGAGGAGCTGGGCAGCTAGCTGGCTGAACCTGAACCGCAGGTGGACTGGGGACGGAAGACTGTCTCAGGTGGCCTGTTTTGGTACACTCATATGTACTTCAATTTATATGTGTTGAGCTTGATGTTTTCATCTTAGTTTATTCTAATAATACGTGGATGAACGTGGATACAGAGTGTCGGGTATTAGTATTAAGGATATCTGAAAGAGAAAAGCTGATGGCATGAACGTTAACTCACCCGGATGATCAAGAACGTATTTTGGTCTCGTCCGACCCGAGGGCGAGGGGCCCGTCATGCCTGACCCTCGAGGGCACGGGTCCCGTCTCGTCCGATCCCGAGGGTGCGTGCTCCGTCTCGCCAGACTCCTCGGGCGCGGGCTCCGCCACGTCTGACCCCGAGGGCGCGGGCTCCGTCACGTTTGACCTCAAGGGCTGGCCGCCTCGCCCGAGCCCTCGGCGCGGACTTACGCTGGCGGACCCTCCAAGGGGATTCCGCCTTGCCCGATGGGGATCCGTGCATCTCCCACCACTACGGATCTAAGAGTACGAACACAGGATCAAACTTCTGACACTAGAAAGGGAGTAGGCGCGTCTTGACGCGACCCGCGGCCACGACGGGCCATACCTGAGGACTCACGTCGCCAACAATGTCGGGCGTGCCGGCTCTATGCTACCTAATCCCCATACGACTTTCGACGGGGGTATCTACTAACCAAGTCGCCCGTCGGGACGGAATGGAGCGCCATGACCGGCCGACGACGCCAGCAGATAGCGCAAGTGATGAATGTGGTCGCTGACGTGAAGCCGCCCCCGTCATCATCTACGAACGGTGGGACCCGCAAAAAAGAAGATGAAGGGCGACGCGACCTTGTTGGCCTTCCTCCTCGCTTTTCTCTCTATCTTTCTCTCGTGTAACCTGCGCCTTCCCCTTTATCTATAAAAGGGGAAGCAGGACACTCCACGAAGGGCACGCTGAACGGCTAAACGAGCTCAACTCCGTTCGATCCTTTCACCAGAGACTTGGGACCTGCTCTCTCTCTCTCGCCTGTTTCTAGCCCCTACTACGAACTAGTGCCGGTAACACGAGCAGCAGCAGACTGGACGTAGGGACATTCTGCTCGAACCAGTATAAATTCTTGTGTCCTCTGAGCACACCATCGGGCCAGATGCGCAAATCACAAATTTACTAGTCGGTGATTCGAAACACCGACAACGAGTGTAGCCAAATAAGACATAAGTCACTTTTGCAGCATGTGAATACCACAGTTGAAAAAGTGCCGAATCCCTTCGCGGAAAAAGAAGAGGACGAGAGGTGCTAAGTCATTTTCACCCTGTCCCCTTCTGGCCTTGTCTCTCTTTTATGCAACTTGAGTAAAATATCTATCGATTCGAAAAGTGACCAACAAGTAAATATTTGTAGTTTTGTCGTGCGTTGTGATCGGATGTGATCTAGCACTCAATGACACAGGATTTATACTGGTTCAGACAACGTGCCCTACGTTCAGTTTCGGTCGGTCGGTGACTTTATTCCTGAGCCCAGGTGCTCAAACTTTGCTATGGGGTTACAAACAGGTATGGAATGAGAAGGGGGGGTGTTAGAGGCCTAGTCGGACTCTAAACCAAGTGGTTAAGAGTGATATGTGCTCTAACGTGCACTAAGTATTGGAGCGTATGCTCTGTGTAGCTATTGAGATCTAGAGTTGTGGAGCTGTTCGAATGCTCAGGTTCTCTAGAGCTAGATCTAGACAGAGAGTCCAGCGTACGTCCTTGTTGGGAGAGAGAGCATTCCCTTTTATAGGTAAAGGGGATGGCCTTACAAGTTAGAGCGAAAGAGAGAGAGAGTGTACGTGTGCTACCCAGTCTTGTTGCTCATGCCATCGGGTACGAGACGATTGTCTATGCCCACAATACTGTTCATTCCCAGACGCGTCTGGTAGGTTTTACCATGTTCGCTTGGTATGGTAAATGTCGGTGCCTACAGCACTGTAAGACAAATGTCGGTGCCCACAACACTGTTTGGGTTCTGACATGTCTGGAAGGTTGCATAGTACCCGTCTGGCATGGCCTGGTGGCACTGTCCTGCAAGTGTGCAGGGTATGGTAGGGTACGGACCTTGGTATTACGGTTGACTTGAGTGCCTTACCTTATCTGCTCCGCCTGATCCTTGGGTCCTCATCGAGCGGGCGTCCTCGGTCGGCATAGCCCGCATGGGGCATCCCACTGCTCCTTACCTGTCTCTCGACAGCCGCCTAAGCCATCCAATTGACTCGGGTGACCCATTGGTCTCTCCTCGATGGAGATCTCGTTGGTGGGCCCTTCCAAACCCTACCTGGGAAGGCGGAGGGTCGTTTGCACATGATTGCGCCATGTTTCCTACACCCAAATTGCGGTAGTGGTGGGCCCTACCCAGGCCACGTCCTGTTTAACTAGGCGACTTTTTGTTGGGGAGGGCGCGTCCCATCAGTCAGGACGCGTCCCACCGTACGCCTCCCTGCATTAAATAGGGGGAAGGAAGAGGGTATTCCTCCCATTCTTTCACCTTTCTCCAACTGCTGCCTCTTCTCCTTCTTCCTTTTTGCCAAGTCCGTTCATGCACCATGGCGGTTTCTAGAAGAGAGGGTAAAGCAAGGGAGAGGAGAACTTACAGATCCGTTTGTGAATACGAGGCGTGATGTCGAGCTGGAGGCCTTCCACCATGGACGAGGAGGTGCTGGCCGCCTTCGCCGAGAAGGGGCTGCTCCCATCGAAGGAGGTGGCGCATTGGAGGGCTCCTGCATCAGGGGAAGTTGTTCCGCAACCCTGGGCCGACTAGGTCATCTCCTTCCTCGCGTTCCATGAGCGTGGGCTTGGGTATCTCGCGCACTGGTTCTTGCGTGGGCTCCTCAACGAGTGGGGCCTAGAGCTGCAGCACCTCAACCCGACTGGGGTGCTGCACATTGCCGGCTTCATCACCGTCTGTGAGGCCTTCCTCGGGATGGAGCCGCACGTGGACCTCTTCCGGTGGATCTTCAGCGGACGAGCCCTATCCGAAGGGAAGCCACCTAGGATCGCGCCAGTTGGGGGTTTTGCCTTGCAGAAGAAGCCGAAACTGTCGACACCCTACCCTGCATACTCCCCCTATGACTCCAATCGGGGGTGGCACATCAAGTGGTTCTACATCAGGAACCCAGTGGAGGCGCCATTCCGCTGCTCACCAAAAGAAGGCCGGAGAGGAGGGAAAGTTGGTCGTGGGGTCCTGCCGGTCGGCAGAAGAAGTTGGAGGTTATCGAGGCGGAGCTTTAGAAGCTTGTGCAGCATGGCCTTGATAGGCTACGTGTCTTCCACACCTTATTCTGCTATCGGGTCACCCCGCTGGCAGAAAGAACACGGCCAATGTGGGAATACATTGTCCCGATGGATCCCGACCGTGCGTCGATGGAAGAGTTGCCAAAGGACAAAGTCTGGAGTCGACTCGATCGGGTGCTGTAGCTGAGGGATAAAGACTCCCTCAAAGGGACGCCTAGACCTCTTCACGCCACGAAGCTATCCAATCTGGTATGTCCCCCTCTTCTTTTCCCATGACCTTTTCCTCCTTGTTTTTCCTTGTTTTGATTTCGAGCTGCCCATTTCGTAGGGACTCGCGGGTTACAAATCCCGGCCTCACCTTTCGAGGGGACTGGAGGGCGCAACTTGGCAAGCTACCCAGAAGGAGGCGACGCTACAAGAAGAAGAAGAGAGAGCGAGAAGGCCCGGAGGAGGTTCAAAAAGGAGAAGAAGATCACCATGGGTCCGGAGGAGCGAGAGCCGAAGCAATGTGGAGGCAGAGCTCAAGTCAGA